CTTAACGTTTCGGAAAGTTTTCGGGTCAAGTTTCGTTTAGCCGAAATCTGTTAAAAAAGAAAAAAACAATTTTTTGTCATTTAGGTACCTCAGGGAGTATATTACTGAAAAAAAATTGCCGCGGAAATGCGTCACCATTTTTTGAATGCGGTTTAAAAGTAACGAAATGACATACATGAAAAATTAATGTTATTTCATATTTTAGATGTCTTTGTAAATACTAATACGAAAATGAAATTCCGCGGAAATGCGCTGTTGCCATTTTTTTCAATAGGGTTTAGAAGTAACGAAATGAGATATACAAATTAAAATTATTTTATATTGTTGACTTACTTTTAAGCACCGATACAAAAATGAAAATCCGCGAAAATGCCTTGTTTCACCACTATGCAGTGATCTTCTTCTCGACCTTTGACACAGATCAATGAATAATATCTATTCTTATCAACTTAATATCGCTATGGTCAATAAATGCGAAAATTTAAAAAAAATTGTCAATAAAGCATAAAAACGACAACTAAACCAAACCAAATCCTAAATACAACCAAATCAAACCAAACCAACTAAAACCAAACCGAAAGTATGCAAACATGTTGAGAATACTATGGAAAACTTCGAAATATTGAAGATTTTCCATTACACCGCCCTTAGAATAAATTTCCGCGGAAATAGTTATATAGAAAAGTTATAGCAAATTATTAATCAAACAAAAATATGTAGTTTTTATCTTCCTATCACATTTCGGCACTTCTAAACCCGGAAAAATTAATGAAAATTATTGTGATAAAAATATATTTTCGAATAAAAATTAGTTCACATTGTTATATTAAATGGTTTTACGTCATTCTAATAATGAAGAAAACTATTAAAAACACCGTAAAGTTTTAAATTTTAGTTAATAATAGAAAAATTAAAAATTCTAGTTTTCTCAAAAACAAAGAGTTTCCGCGGCAAAAATCAAATTATGTAGTGCTAGTTTTCTTGTATAGAATCATCCTATAAACCGATATTCTATGTTATTGATTTCGGCTAAACGAAACTTGAGCCAAGTTTTCTCTTTCCGTCGTCGGAAGCAAAAAAATATAAAGAATAAAGAAAAAAATTTAAAATATTTAAATTGAACTATTCGAGAACACTTTACTTTTTAAAACAGATACGTCTACAAGAAATCGTTGACGTTCTTTTAAAATGACATTATATTAAGTTAAACTTCAAAATTAACAATTACTACCTGATAACAATTACTTAATAAGGTAAAACCAAAAAGCCCAAACTTTCTGTATGATTATTTTTAAATTTTACGTATGTTATGTTTACTTATGTTATGTTCTTTAAAATCAAAGAAGCGATTGTCATACATTACTAACATCTACAGATGCACGAGCAATACATTTATTTTTATTAGATTGAATTAAAAAAGCCTCTTTTATTTTTCTTTTAGAGGCTATCGCTTCTTTCATTATAATTTTGGCGTTATTAAAATTTATTCTGTGCCCTGTGTCCCATGAATGCTGACAAATCTTAGATTTGTGAAAATCTCCATTTCTTAAATATAATCTTTATGTTCTTTAATTCTAACATTTAAGGGTCTAGATGTTTCACCAATGTAAAATTTATCGCATTCACAGGGTATTTGGTATATTACATTTTTTGTTTGTTGTTCTGTCTTTATTGGTTTATTACAGAATAAATTTTAATAACGCCAAAATTATAATGAAAGAAGCGATAGTCTCTAAAAGAAAAATAAAAGAGGCTTTTTTAATTCAATCTAATAAAAATTGCTCATGCAATGTATTGCTCATGCATCTGTAGATGTTAGTAATGTATGGCAATCGCTTCTTTGATTTTAAAGAGCATAACATAAATAAACATAACATACGTAAAATTTAAAAATAATCATACAGAAAGTTTGGGCTTTTTGGTTTTACCTTATTAAGTAATTGTTATCAGGTAGTAATTGTTAATTTTGAAGTTTAACTTAATAGAATATCATTTTAACAGAACGTCAACGATTTTTTGTAGACGTATCTGTTTTTAAAAAGTAAAATGTTCTCGAATAGTTCAATTTAAATATTTTAAATAGTTGTTTTCTTGATTCTTTATATTTTTTTGCTTCCGACGACGGAAAGGGAAAACTTTCCGAAACGTTAAGCATTTTTTTCTTTGTTAGGCAAATTTTTATTACTGTAAACACAACTTCTGACAAGCAGCGTCCGTTTAGATTTAACGCAGAAGTGTTTACAAAAAATAACTATTTTATTTTGTAGATTTTTCTTGCAGTGCAGTGGCGAAATACCCATAAAGGATTTTTTTGGATAGATGAATCCGCCACATAGGTATAGATATTTTTTAGTAAGTTATAGTCCCGAAGCAGGCCTTCTTGACATAAAATTTGCTTCGTGTAATATTCTTCTTACAGCCTTATAGTCTTACACTTAAATGACTTAAATGTACGTTCCTTAGGTGCAATTCATTATAAATGGTTTCTTAGCGATAGATTTATAATAAATCTATTGTCTCGATTTGCTATAGAGAGCTCGGAGCTAGTTCCTTAGTTCTAGTTCCTCTAGAGGAATAGTTCCTTCAACTAGCTCTTTAGTTCACAATAGTTCCAGACTAACATTAACATCCCCGTTGCTTTCTAATGGGTTTCGTTATCAGTCAGAACTATTCACAGTATGATTGTATAATTTTTATAGTGTAATAAATATAACGAAAAGTGTAATTGCGTATGTTAAAAACATATAGATAAGTTTTATTGCAGATAAAAAAATAAAAAGGAAACTCAAATCAGAGTTTCTGTTTAAAAAAGTATATCACAAATCAATTGGAGCAAATAATACGAAAATTTTACGAAAAATTGCATTTTTCCTCACTTCAAGCGTCTTGTTTTTGTCTAAAAATTCAGAATATCTACTTCGTTTTATAAGATATTTCTTAATTTTAGAAACATAAAGTGAAATATTCCCATCAAATATTTAAAGAACAAACAAAAATCAAAAACAGTATCTACGACAATTTTCTGTGTATCTGCGACAATTACACCGGCTAAGGCTGTGACAATAGACAATGCCAAATCCATCGTCGTCGCTTTCTATTATATCTCGAATCTGCCCATTGAATAGATTCTCGTGAACTAGTCTTCTAATTAGTTATTCAAGTTCCTCTCAGTCCTTACGGTCCGGGACGAAATCGTACGATCCGTACGTAAACTAGTCTTTTACTTAGTTCCTCTAGTTCCTCTAGGTCCTCATACGTGAGGGTGGAAACCTTCACCAAAATAACAACATTTTGTGATCCTTCGTATAATAGAGAAATGGAAACTTTCATTTTTAACATAGAAAGAGATACTAAAATGTCGAATAATTAGCCACAAATTGCTTAAAAAATCATCAAAATCGGTCCACTAGAACACAATATACAGGATGTCCCAGAAATAAATGCAAGTATTTTAACTGGTAGTATAGTTCAACCCCAGAAACACGCCTATGAGTTTTTTTTCGCGAAAAGATTTTTTTGAAAATTCGGAATTCTTTGAAAATTTTTTGAATTTTTTTTAGTTTTTGTTTAAAAAACATAATTTCTTGATAATATGGCAACATAGGTAGTAGATTAAATTTACAAGAAAGAAAATCCAGAAAAGATCCAGTGGTTCTCAAAATTTTAGCAAAAAATATTTTTTTTGGAAATTTTCAAAGTAAAATAACTCCGTTACTTTGGACTTATTTGAAAAATGATAAAGAGAAAATATGTTTCTTTTATCGAGATCTACCACCCCTTAAAATACTTGCACTTATTTCTGGGACACCCCGTATAAAACTTTAAAATACACCAAAATTTTAAGGTTTTTAAACGTTTCTCGTGCCGGTAAGTGTATTTTAAGACCATGCAAAGTAAGTAAACTAATAAAATTATATTTCTAATTAAATGAAATAAGCTAATTCCATTAATACACGAGAGATTAGGTTTGATTCCATATAAATAATCGTATAAAAATCAAACAATTTAATAACACATTTTTAAGCTATTGAGAGATTACTATTTCTAATTATTGTCTAGTAAAATATGTTACTCAGATCTTTAAAATTTTTAACATAAAAATAACGCAGTTAAAGACATTACTTTTAGAGGGTTCTTCTGTACTATTTTGTCACTATTCTAGCATGCGTTATATTTGTAAAAATTCTACCGGGTGGTTCAGGGTCGTTGGAAGCATAGGAAACCTATGCAAATTTAAGAAAAACTGCATCTATTTTTAAATTAAGACTGAACGGGGTGACAATGCAAAACCAGTCAAATGTCAACATACCTTAAGTTGTCAACCTATGATTTTATCATTGTCAAATGTAATTTGTTGTACTGTCTACACTATTACGTTATAGTACTTATGCTTAGTGTACCCAAACTGTATTTGTGTAATTTTAAACTGGATCGAATGAGACAAAAGCCTAATGCCGGGTCCAGACCAAGGCGACAAAAAATAAACACGATTTTGAGATAAAAACAAGACAAACTTGCGACAAAAAATTGGGAATTCTGACAAGACAAACTTGAGACAAATTGTCCACACCGCAAAGACAAAAGTACAACAAAGTTAAAAGTTTAGTTGTTGCGAATGAGTTTTATTAACCATGTGTGATTTCACTGGTCTCCTATTGTTGGCAGCACACGTCATCCACACTGCGCCGACAACTTGTACAATATACGAACAAAACATAGACACTTTGATCTTTACCGACTCGAGACGGGATATTGAAAAGTCTCCGAATTTTGAAACAAAACAAAAATGAGACAAAAATGTCACAGAAATGTATTGGATTTGTCGCAATTTTGTCGTAAAACATAAATGTTTCTGTCTTGTCCTTATTGAAAATACAATTTGACATTAACAAAATTATAGGATGACCATGATGAGAACTTAAGGTAGATTGTTATTTGCCTGGTTTTCTGTTGTTACCTGTTAAATTTAAAATTAAATACTTAAAATCGGCTTGTCCAAAATGGCTCAAGTTTGGCATGGCCTTTAAAAAACCTATTTACAACTTCGCTGCAAAATTAACAGGGACGCCAATATCTGGACAGTTCAAAATTTTGAAGCGATTTCTTATGTTTCCAAACATGATGCACCATCCGGTATAGTATAATTTAAAAATATCTAAAAATTTACATACTTATTTCTCTCTCACAAGGCATACACAAACGACCAGTAAAACAAATTGAATATTAAAAACGCTGCTGGAAAAGCTATTCTGGATTTTTTGTCGATCCAGTTGGCCACCTCGTGAGGGGACATAGTAGTCCAAGTAACGTTTTTCCCGTTAGTTGACTTATCTGGAACGGGGATACTAGTGACGTTGTTGTCTTCTATGTTAATCAGTTCGTCCTGGCTGTTGGGTGGAGTTTGAATAATAGGAATGGACGGCATATCAGTTGGAAATGTCTGGAATAAACAATGTGGCTCAGTATAAAAAAGCTTAATATACATTTGGTTAGATTAGGTTAGGTTAGAAAGGTTAGGTAAAGAATGGAGGAGAAATATCTTCGTGCATTAAAAATGGTCATAAAAAAGGGAAGACTTAAGATGGCGCTGCTGTAGCAAAAACCTAAAATTTAAAATATGCGCCGAAAGAAGGTGCAGGTTGTAGTATACAGAGAAGACCAGGCTACTAGCAAACATAGCAAGTTGCCGGACGAATTTACGTTTACCCGATTTGCGTTTGTACACGAGATTCACTGCCGGCTGGTCAGGCCTTAGGGTCAGGCAGTACGCAGTTGCAGTTGTGCTTGGACGGGTCGGTCGTGACAGACTAGGAATACGACGCGAGGAGTGCCGAGTATTTATTATTTTCATTTGCGTTTCAAGTGTTTACCTTTACTTAAGGTAACATTTAAAACAAAAATACTTAAATATTTATTATTTGAGTGTGTTTACAAGCCAAAACTAAAAATAAATAAATTCTCAAAACCCCCCCAAAAAAAATATTACTATAAATAAAAAGAAATTATAAGTAAAAGACCTTCTTGTGCTAGATAGAAGCCTAGGCGGTCGTAAAATCCCCGTCTGACATTGGCTAACATATTAGGGCTAATAGTTTGGAAAGCCTCTCGTATTTTTACTTGAAGCTCATCCAGATTAATAGCGCTATATGACCATACACTTTGGATTTTACATAACCCCACAAAAATAAATCATTGGGAGAAATATCTGGTGATCTAGCGGGCCACAAAATAGTTCCATGTCCACTAATTAAACAGTTGGGAACAGTATTGTTCGAATATTCTTGAACAATACGGGCATTGTGGGCAGGGCAACCACCTCAGGAATTTGATTACTTGAAAACGTGGGATTTTGATCCGCGGTAGCACAAATAACACTTGCTTTAACTTCTGTTCTTCATTAATCAACACGTCAGGCTTTTTGTGTTTTTGTGGAGACGCGCACCCATGTGTTCAAAATTATTAATAACTCTTCATATAGTAGGTAAAGATGGAATTGGCCTGTTTACAAAAGTTTGTGGAAAAATTGTTTGTATATCCCGATAAGACCTATTTTGGAAATACCATTTTACAGTTTGAATTTTCTCACGAACTTCGTAAACATCCATTATTTTACTTAAAAAATAAATTTTACACGAGAACTGTCGCGAGAATCTATGTATTCGTTTTGGCTATTAAAACACGAATAAATACAAATTATGAAACATTCTTATCACATATCTACCTATTTTTATTTTATCGTATTTTTTCGCCTGCTTCGCATTAATTCGTCCGGTTCTGCCTATGTTACTACTACGGTGGTCCGGTCTGTATGTATACTTACATGTACAGTGAGATAGTTATTCTGGCTGATCTGATTCACATTGTGATCTTTTTCATCGAGACTGGAACAGGAACGGGTTTTGTACAGGCTGTTGTACGATTCGGATCTTCTCAGTTGCTTTCTGTTCAAACTAGGCGTTACAGCGCCCCTTAATATGTACTTACTGCTTGCTTTTTTCAATTCAACTTGTTTTCTAAAATAAAAAAAAACAATTTAAATTAAAATAGAAAAAATACCTAATAAATTTTAAAAACGTAATGATAAAATAATGTATTTTAATAAACGTAATAATAAATAAATGGTAATACAAACGAAGTAAAAGAAAGTTAACTCACCTTCTCCTCCAGATGACGTTGACAAAAGCGAACTCCGCCATCGAGCAAAATATAAATGTGGAACAGCCTAAGAACCATATCTCGCTGGCTTTGATGTAACTCACTTTTGGCAGGTTCTTGGTTAGGCCACCGTTAAGTGTTATAAACGACAGCATGGTAGATGTTCCTGAAATATACCCTACATTTAAGATACTTCTATGCTACATTGTATTGGATATATAGTGTCCATAAAAATGTGAGTTATCAAAAAATAAATGTTTTTTTTATTATTATTTGAGAGGTAAAATTAGGTAAGGCAGTTAGTTTCGGCTATATGATAAAAAATAAAATTTAGTATACCATCTTATTTTTTCAATCAACGCTGCAAGATGTAACGAAAATATTTTCGTTACATTTTTCCTTTTATATCGTTTATACGTTTTTTATATATTATCGATTTTTTGCGGAACCTCGATAGTGGTACACATCACTAGCGATGGTTGTTAGTTTAAATTGTTTAAATATTTTATTTATTTTCTGGTTGCCTATCGGTTATCGATTATAATTTGTTTATTTTTAATGAAAACGAAGGTTTATTATTAATATTTTGTTTAGTGTTAAATAATTAAGATGCAATTGTTACACGCATATTTTTTTGAAGGTATGTAAGAAATTTTATCGTATGTATTATTTTTATTATTAATTATAGAATTTTTATATTGACATTTGGTACTTAACGCATGTCTAAATGAATGGGAGAATTCTATAAAGGGACTTTTGTTTTGCCGAAAATCATTCTCTCTCATCTCGATCTTCTTTGCTTAAACACCTAGCGTTTTTTTTTCTAGACACCAACATGAAGTACGGCTTGGAATTTATTTATTAGTTTCATTTTTTAAAACATTTCTTACTGTCTAATGTAATTTTTTGATTTAATTTTATAATTATCTTGTAAACTTTAAATTCCTTTTTTCTATTTTGTCTTTTTATCTCACAGTTCATTTTTTTTCATCATTTCTTTATCTTCTTATCTTAGTAGCACGTGTATAGTAGTTTTGTAAATTTTCTAATACCTTTAACGTTTATTAATACTAATTATTTTTATCTTTCATTTTTATGTACTGAGACGCAAGCTGTCGAGCAAGAACCCGCAGAGGTGTTCGATTTAGCAGTCCCAGGGGCCATGAATAGAACCAGCCACCGCAGGAGTAGTCTCAGAGACGAACCAGGAGGGACTCTGGTAAGTAAGGATTTTTTATAATATTTTTATTATACGACTTATGTCACCTTTAACGAATCCTTGCTTGCCAGAAGGCAACTCTTGTTTTATCTGGACCCTGTAGTGGTGGTGCCTATTGGCAGGCCATTCGACAGATAGATTTTTGTTTTTTTGTTGTTTTTGGGTCACTCTAGGGAACGTATCTTTACCTCGTATCTGCCAAATTTACCTTACCTTATCTTTATCTTATTTGGCGGATGCATTATCTTTGTCACTGGAGTGACATATCTTTTCTTTTAGTTTTTATCTGTCGAATTGCATTATCGTTTTTCGTATCTTGTCTCTATCTTTCTATTTACCTTTATCTTTCTATCAAGTTTTTTTAATTTATCTTTTCATATCGCATTTTAATATTAACTTTTGTTCTAATTTAAATTTTCATATATTTCTAGTTTTTTAATCTTACATATTTTTTTATTCTTTTTACACGTGTCTACAAATTAAGCCAAATAATTTACTGCAACAAACAATTTTTTTTTCAAGTCGTACCAAAGTGATTGTGGTGGTCTGGAATTTTCTAGAGAGAGAGGGACCAAAATATTTTTCTTTTATATTTTTATGTAATACTATCTTTATATTCTTTATATTATTATATTCTTTAAATAACTTGGACGAACTTTTCAATTATTGTAACTTGATCTAAACTGTCCTTGCCTATTTTTTTTTAATTTTAATTATAATTTTTACTATAATTAGTAGTTGGATTTAGATTGGATATTGTTTATTTCAATCAATATCTTTACTTGTCATTTAAATTTTAAGTATTATTATTGTACAAGCTATTGGCAACGAAGAGAGAGTCCACTTGGCAATTTTATAGACCATCACAAAACAGGGTACTTATCAATTGTGTGGAGTAGAATACTGCTGTTTGTTATCTTCTAGGAAGATACGAGAATTGACCCTCCCCATAAGTAGCTCACGCACTGAGACTGGTGGAGTCTCGCAAGCTCTTCAACATTAGCCGGACAATCACGCTACCCACCAGCGGATGAGTGCAGCGAAGAGGGTCTTTCTCCCAACCAACCGAAGCAGAAACACATTAAGTATTCCAGTTGCATATCTAATCTCATATAATCGAGACTGTCACAGCCAATGGTATTGATTGTTTAAAATTGTTAATTGAATATAAGCCATTAATGAAATTTTCTATTGTCTTATTTAATTCCAAAGCATACTTCCACAAACCAGTAACTTTTAGAATTTTGTGGGTTATAATAACATAACACAAATAGCACTACCTATTCATAACCAAACTGCCGACTTATGAAATCATTCGTATGGGAATCTGCATACTTCAATACCTAGATATCCCAATTTCTTCAATTAACGATACCATGATAGTATCGTCACTTGATCTATTTGCAAAATATGATTTTTTACATTGACAATATGTTTACAATAGATATAATATAATCATTTTTATATATTGATATAATGACTGTCAAAATATTCAAAACATTTACTAAAAATGTTTTGAATCGCAGCTATTGCAGTTAAAAAACACAAAACCTAATTTCACCGTTAAAAAAAGTTACCTAATTTTACCGTCTCTTATTAAATAAAACTCCCGATGATGGAAAATTGTTTGCGGACACTGAATAACATAATTCATATTACGATTTGAAAGTACCTAAAACAGCTCTAGGTGCGCTGGCATCGGCTTGTAACCAAAACGTAACCCAGGATGTAATTACGAGAAATATGGATGGCAAAAAGTAGTCCATGATGTAGTAACCAATTTCTCTGCGCAGTTTAAATTTAAACGTGAGAGAACTGTAGTTACCAGCTGTAACAAAAAAAAATTATCAACATTAAGTAAATACAACTGATATTTTTAATAAGAAGCATTTCGTAGAGGTTAATATATCAAAATTAATACAATCAACATCAATACAACATGTTTTAAGCTACAGACCGTTTAGGTGGTTATGACAATATCAAAACAATGCTAATGATCCCATTAGCTCCGATTGGTTTTGTAGACCCGATTGGATTTTGTGCTGTTAGGTTCACTTTGCTCCACTTGGTACTAGTGTCAATCGAATGTCTATGACGTATATATATGCTTAATTTTTGAATAATATTTAGTTAATCATCTGCTGATGATGCTAATATGGTAAGCAGAACGTGTCTCCAGAGTTCAATATAAAGTATTTTGGAGTAATGTGTTTTATTTTGCTCCAACATAAAATGCCAAAGATATAGCAGGACAAAATTAAATTTAAAAATAAAATCAATTGGTATAGAAAGATACCGTATGATCGAAAAAAAAAACGGCGTCCAGTTGGCTGGGAAATGACGATCGATGGCATTTTCCATATAAATAGACATATAAATTGACAGCGATATTCATTTCACAGCCATCGCTGACGCCGCTTTTTCTCGATCATACGGTATGACTTTGTACTAACCAATATTAAGACAACTTGTCTAAGCTATTGTCTACCAAACTGTTGTTCCATATTTACTCGTATTACTAGATTTATATTTAAAAAAGATTGTCAATTTTGATTCCCTTCACAGACCGTGTTAGGCACGATCGGAAAAATTATATAGATAATAAACACTAAATCTTTGAATAATAATAAAATAACAAAATCAAAATCAGTGTTGTTGCCAGATTACCTATGATTTAAAAATCAAAACCGTATCGGAGCTCTTTAACTGATAAAAATATTTATAAATATTTATAAAAATCTACCCGGCCGGCCCACAGTGTTGCGGCCCATGGACAAAAATACGAAAATCCAAATTTAAAATATATGTTATTTTAGTAGTAAAATATCCGTACTTATTAAAACAAAGCAAAAAATTACCAGGGATGCCTCCAGGTCACAAAAATTTGTTTATATTTCTATAAAAAAATTTCTCGATAAAGCATTAAGTGTTGAACATTTTTCGATCATACTTTAGTAGCAGATTGTTCCTTTTAATAGCATTTATACAAGTTTTATTTTGCTATGTTTGCTGTTAGTGATAATATTTCTCTGCATGAACTTAAGTGTATTAAAAATAGATAACAGAAATTGTATGAGTTCATCACCCTAAATTTACAAAAAAATTAAACCGTAGCTCAGAAAGTATTAAATAAAAGTATCAAACTTTAAGTAAGCTTTAAAAAAACGTATCGAACAGATTTTGTATACAGGGTAACAATTTGAAAATGAACCGTATTTAATATTGCCTCTGACAATGATAGTATGAAAATTTGGCAAAAACGTCAATTTACATATCAAGGGGGACAATTTTTGAAGCATTTGTTGTCGTGTTACTTTCAACTCCTTGACCACCCACTCCAAAAATTTTAAATAGCAACCCCTATTTCTTTTACTTTTTTTTATTTTCATGCTATCATCCGTAGAGGTAATATTAAATACTGTTCGTTTTCAAATTGTCACCCTGTATAAGTAGCCTTATATTTGGACATTATAAATCTGCGGTCCGTTGCTGCTACTAACATGCACTTTTGAGTTTTCTTTTCTTTTTTTTTAAGATAACGCAATACACCCTGTATCTAGAAAACGAAGCAAATTAGGACAAATGATGTATGAACTATTTTTCTTAGTATTCTCGTGAATACGCCCTTAAAATCTTTTTTTTTCACAGGCTTATGCGCTAGCCGGGGTTTAACCAAGGCTATCACATTTCCACATCATCTGGATAGAATCCGTCTCACAATTGCTGTAGTGCCCAGAATTGCAGCTTTTTGCAATAAAACCCAGGACAGATCTCCGTAATCCCAAACGGCTCAGGATATCAGGTAAGTTTTTATGTATTAAACCGTTGGCAGTAATAATTATTGGCAAAATTTTTACGGTTTTTAGATTCCAAACTCTCTTCAACTCAACGCTTAGAGCCTCATATTTATCCATCTTTTCTTTGTACGCCCTGCCTATGTTATCATCTACAGGAATTGACACGTCTATAATGGTAAGTTCTTTATTTTCCTTCTCCAACAGCATGATATCAGGCCTATTATTGGGTACTAGTTGATCCGTAATTATGATCATATCCCAATAAAGCTTAGCAGAATCATTTTTTATTATTGCTTTAGGCTGGTATTTATAATATGCCTCTTTATTTTGGACTATTTTGTGTTTCAGCTCCAATTCTTGGTGGATGATTTTGGCTACTTCATTGTGTCGGTTGAGGTATTCTGTAGGAGCCAAATGAGTGCAGCTTGACACTATGTGCTGGATTGTTTCCTCCTGTTTGCACCCCATGCGACATGAAGTATTAGGTAAGTTCTCTTTTAATATGAACTTCCTATAGTTTTTAGTTGGAGTTACTTGGTTCTGTATTGCTGCCAATGCCCCTTCAGTTTCAGTAAACAAATATCCCTGTGTTAGGTAAAGAAATGATTCTTTAACTTTAACTTTCTTCTTAATTCTGAAAACAAATATCTCTGTGTTAGGTAAAGAAATGATTCTTCTTTTGCTACTTCAGTATTTTGCAAACTGTTATAGAACCTACCATGCAGAGACTTCTTTTGCCATGTTTCTTTAAAAGCTTGTGGTATGGTTTGGTCTTCTCTAACATCTGAAAGTGACAGTGGTGATAACTGCTTATCTATTTGGATTATTGCTCTAATTTATGGATGGTTTTGTCGATTAAAATATTTACATAAGCTGTTTTTTTTTCTTGTTTTAAAGCTAGCTCTAAATTGGTTAGTCCTCTACCGCCCTCACATCTTGGTAAATATTCTCTATTGCAGATTTTGGGTGATGTATGATATACTTTGTTAGAAGAGTTCTTATTTTCCGATCTAAAGCTTGTATGTATGTAGGAGTCCAGGCAAGAATTCCAAAGTGTAAGTGATAGTAGGTGATAGTGGTAGTTGTTGTCTTCCTTTTGCATATAGTTTGAGGTCATCCACATAAAACTGGTGTGAGATATCTTCTTCTTTATTTATTTTGTACGCATAAGGGCTAGAATTTAGTAGATGACTTAAGGGATTTAAAGCTAAACAGAACCATAGGGGGCTTAAAGAATCCCCTTAGTAAATTCCCATTTTTGTGTTTATATGCTCCGTTTGGTAATGCAAATGTGCCGCACCCGTTTCTAACAGTCGTACAACTTGGGGATGTATTTTATATATGTTCAATACTTGAATAAGCCAGGAGTGTGGCACCGAGTAAAAAGCCTTTCGGTAATCTATCCACGCCATTGAAAAATTTCTCTTTTATTTATGTTATTATTATTTTTGTAATTCTTAAGTTTCATTTAAAATTTATTCATTGCGATATTATAAAAAATGTTTGTTCATTAATATTTTGTGCCAAAATGAATTAAAAAGACTGATTTGAAAGCTCTAGGATTTTTGTCCTCAAATGACCATTTTCAGGCAACGGCCCAGCTACGTCGAAACACTGGTTCCCATTAGAACACCGAAGTTATGCGACGTAAGGCGATACTAGTGGATGGACGGGTGACTGGTTCGAAACGCCTGTATCGTGCTATTGTCCAAAAAAAGGCAAAAGTGTAAAATATATTGACACACACTGCTCATTCACGCCGGTTCGAGGCCGAATGAGATCGGATATCTCGTGAGTAAGAGTCGATTTAGACACTTCTCACGATATGGCGGAGGACCGCGGTTCGAATTCCGCGTAAAAAAAGTAGGCTCCGTCCAGATTAGCCTTGGCAGCAAAAAGGAGACGTTAACTGAAGGCGCTCTAGAAGAGGGGTTACCAGACGATGTAGTAGTAGCAGTATGCATCATGAGTAGTAGCGAGCAGATTGCATCGCAACGGTCCACAACATATGAGTCGGTTGCGTTTTGCGGGGATACACTTTCGGGTAGGCATGTTCCTCATAGAGTGTGTACACTGTAAAAAAAAATGAGTGAAATTTCACTCAGATTTCACTCAATACTTTCTCAATTTCTGTCCACACCCGATTGAGTGAAATTTCCACTCTACAGAACCGAGTGAATCTTCAATTCTCAGAGTGAAAAGCACTGAGTGTTTTCACTCAATCGAGATTAGACGAAAGACTCCTTTTTACTCATTATTGTTTACCTTGAGTAGGATTTTGATCGATTTTGATAATTTATTCACTTTAAAATGAGTGAACTCACTAAGTGTTGAGTTCAAGACACCTTTTATTGAGTGACTTTTACTCAAATTTGTGTTACACTTAACTCGATTAGTACTCATATCTGAGTATTAATTTCACTCAGTATTGAGAAATATATTCTAAATTATTTTTTTAAAAGCTATATGTAAGCTAACTTGTTATTTTATAACAGGTGGGCAGGTGCCTTTCAAAGGTAAGTTTCAGTTTAGGACATGGTCTCGAACATGTCCATTTCCTAAAATTCACTTTTGGGAGGCATCTGGTCACTTGTAATAAAATAACAAGTTAGCTTACATAGCTTTTAAAAAAATCATTTAGAATATTTCGTTTTTTTTAACAAACCAAATAAAAAACTGTAGAACCTTCAAAAATATTTTTATTTGTCATTTTTATTTGACAAAAAAACAAATAAAACCAAATATAACACTATTATTATAATATCAAAAACATTTTAAAAAGTTTTCAACTCTTTTTGGAAAAAATACAGGAACTTTTTAAGCTAGATGTCTAGAAAAGTTGCATCACATCGCAAAAATCCGCTTTATTAAGAGCATTCGTCAGCTCGGCTACCAACATTCTCGAATATTTCTAATTTCTAAACTAACTTTTAATAACGAAAATCCTCCGGAAAATCCAGATACTTTTCCTCCTGAAAATTAAAAAAAAATGTTATTCTGCCAAATGTTCCAGTTCCCAGTTCCAGATTGAGGGAAAGTACCTAGATTTTCGCTACGCTAATTAGTCCAGGAAACATCCGAGCATTGCGGCAATCAGTAGACGCAGTCGAATTTGAATATATGTTAGGCGGATTTCTGCGATGTGAAAAAAAATGTTCTTAACATAAAACATATTTAGGAGTTATGAGTTCGTATTCGCTTCACCACGCCACGCGGCCACTGTCACACTTTACATCACACACACATACACTATGGACTTGTAACCTGGGCACCTTCGAAGGAACAAGACAACCTACGACTCGAACAGATAATTAAAAACTGAGGAACAGGGAAATAGCTTATTCGGTATCGAAGAAGCGCGTATGACGTATGATTAGTAATGAGCGAAAATACTCTAAACTGGGTGATTTCACTCAAATTTTTATTGTGTAAAACATAACATGAGTTTTTAAGTGAATTTTTCTATTCCATTACTCAAAGATAGGGGTTATAACTCGAACATGAGCTTATTCAATAGCTATTGATTAAATAGAGATCATATTTGAGTAAAATGATGAATTTACTCTATTTTAGATAAAAATGTACTCAATTATTTCACTCAAAAAATTCACTCCCTGAGAAATATGTGTTCACTCAGGCTGATTTTTTACAGTGTATTTCAAGAATCGGTTTTGTTCGGATTGATTGGCGGAAACGGCACTTAAACTGAAGAATTGGCAATGGCCGGGACTGGTTGCAGTGAAGGTAGAAAACATCCCAAAAGGGGCGACCAGCTCGATCTTTCTGCCGAGGAGCAAAGGAAAAGACATCACCTACCTGCTGAGTCTTATCTAGGCTCAGAACTCTAATGAAAGAACATCGAGTTGGTGAATGATCAACTTGAGCGAAGAGGATGGTCAGGTCCTCACAATAGGAATTGACCTCAAATAGAAAGAGGGATCGGAATATCGTCTATTATAGATTCGGGACAACCCCGGTATCAGAGACTAAGTTAAAGAGGTGGACAAAATAGAGACAGATTCTCCAGCCTCCACCTCACGGGTACCTCAGCCGGAGAGAAGCTCCTCGACTGTGAAGGGCACGTTGAGCCAAACCTTAACCAAAGATCATCTGTTGTCAGAAGAGGATGGGAAATACCATGTCCCCTCTACAATAGGAAAATGCTCAAGTATGATGGGTTATAGACTGTATGACGAGTTATAACTCAAGGAAGGGGGACACAATAAATCTTTACGGTCGCAGTGATTAACCCCTCCCCCCTCCTCCACACAATCATTCTACATTCTATAAATACCGTATGATCGAATAAAAACGGCGTCAGCGATGGCTATGAAATGAAGATCGCTGTCATTTTATATGTAAATTTATATGGAAAACATCATCGATCGTCATTTCCCAGCCAACTGGACGCCGTTTTTATTCGATCATACGGTATTTTAAAGGTGTTAAGCTTCCACTTCATTATTTTTTTGCTGTAAAATAAACCGAGTGTTTAAGGTATTCATTTTTAGATCCACGAAAATCTCTTTTCTATTAAATCTGAGAAACCAGACTAGGAAACTGTCTTGGTTCCAAAATACGTCAGTCATTAGAATATATTTCTTCCGTTTTCTAAATGAATTTAAGGAAATTCCCCGTAGGTTAATATAAAAATCGGGTTAATATAAAAATATTAGGTACAATTGAAATTCAAGTTTTTATTTTTAGACTTCGATTCTAAAAATATAACAAAAATAATTTCCAATATTTTAATAGTTAAATAAAATCTGATGATATTGAATTACAATATTTATTCATAATTAATGATAATCAACATATGTATATTTATTTTATGCCAATTATGCCTTCTTGTTCCCGATACTTTATTGAAATAGAATTTCCGGATTTCAATAACTTATTTGCCATGCAAAAATTTTATGATTAATTATGGAGTATATTGGATTAAATTAGCAAATGTTATCGTCAACTGAATTCCCAGAGCATCTATATTTACAACTCTGCTTTCAAAACAATTAAAACTGACGTCAAATTGTATTTTGATTATTACAGATTGTTAACATAGAAACGAAATAACCTTAATAAATACTGTCAATAGATTTTAAGCGTCAAAATAAACACCAAGATGTCAGAAGGTGACAAATATATACAAGTAAACGATATTTACCTAAATTATGATAATTAAGATTAAGGTGTAGATTTAAAAATGAATGGTAGCAGCGGCAGCGGCAGTGGCAGCATCAAGTCTAAAAATATAATATCAATAGAGGAAGCAGATTTGGACGCAGCTTTTACTGAATTATCTTTGGATGGTAACACACTTTTAAAACCTTAGATTAAATGAGTTCATGGTATTAAACGATTAAATAAGATGTATTGTTCTTTTTTAGTCCCTCGAATTGATAATCCTATACCGGCGCAAACACAAGGTAATTTATAACAATTTTTATTTTCTTCAATCCAACTTTAGTTGTGTTTCTTCGTACCAATATCTGTAAATATATTCAATAACACATACAATGCATTAATTGCATATTAATTATATGCTTACCACTCCTTATCTTAAAGATATATACAAAAGTTTACTTGCAGTTAAAGTTTTTAAAGTTAATTTGGTTAACTTTTAATCAAAATTTTAAATATTCTACTTTATATTTTCTTTCTGAAATAAGATTATTAAGCGACAGTTTCCTGCTAAAATAGAAACTACTCTGAATATCAATTTAAAATAAATAATCCAAAAATTATATTACCGGATTACAGAAAATCACACCCATATACCTTTGCTGAGTTTTCTTTAGTATTTTTTGGGAAGCTAAAAAACTAAGTCGAGGATTACTTGGAAACTAATATCTTATAATGAGATATCTCATTTAAAAAATATATTAAATAATATAGAAATACTTTCTAGTAGAAAAATGTCTGTCAAAGAAATGTCATATAGCATAAAAGTCAACCAATATATAACTTGTCGATTTAAGACTGGTGGTTATTGGGTGGTTATCTAGTTCAAGAATAAAATTTTCAAAGATTTTTAGCTACCCTGTGAAAATAGTTCTTCTTGTGTATTTAAATTACATACAATACTTACTTCTTGATGTATTTAAATTGCATGGATAAAAAATACGGATATTTAGTTTTAAGAAGTGTAATTTATTATTACTTAAAACTTGAAAAGAATTTCTACCATCTAAGAAATTAAAATTTTAAAAATCGACTACCACTTCGTTTTTAAGGCTTTGAAAAAATTAGAATTGCGGTTTTGGAAAATGTTAGTCAACGGTGAATTATGAAAAAAATACTTTATTGCATTTATATCCCCTTTAATAACGTTTCGATTTGTAACACCAGGCAAGACCATCAGTAAGCCCGCGGTTACATTGGATGCATGTCCGTGCGTTTTTTTGACCGTACGTGGTCGGACGTGCACGCAGGCGGTTACATTGCATCGGAGTCTGCGCGTCCGTGCACGTACGTCAATTCCTGTTGGTAGGATGAAAAAAAACTGGTTTGTTATTTTAATACGTGCACGTCCGAGCGTTCGAATTTTTATATCTCTGGGCACAATACATTCCCGAAAAATTTGAATATTTTTGGATACCAGGTTTATTTTTATTTAGGATACGAGTATATTAATGTTGATGGAAACATTCTAAAATATTCAAAAAATTTGATCGGTTGCTGTTTTAATTCATCAAATATTTTACATATTCATTTTCTTCATCCTTTTCTTGCATATAAGTTATTTACCCAACATTTTCGTTTGTTCATAAGTAGTTATTTTAACATTAAATCTTCAGACAGAATCAAAGTGGCGTCCGTTTTGACAAACTCAAAACACAAGACACCCTGAACGCGCATCTAATGTAACCACTAAAATAAAATAGTCGTGCGAGTAAATTCCGTCAGAGCTTGCACGTTAAAAAAAACGCACGGACCCGCATCCAATGTAACCGCGGGCTAAAGGCTACTCCTTAAATATTACCCAATGTCACTAAATCATGTTAAATTATATGTTCCTCTCATGTTTTTGATGTCAATGCTGTGCTGAATAAGATGTTTGAATTGCCACAGATTATACAGATTATAAACTTTGTTTTTTCTTTATTGTTTTTCGTGGTTCCGGTTTTCGGAATCGGGCACTAGTTAGGTTACTAGTTTGCGCACATAGCACGCCCACTATGTCCTCTAAAATTGTGCACAGCGCCTGACCGGCACAGTTATTAGAGAGATAACGGAAAACCGAATGGCGTCATGCAGTATTTACGCGTACCTTATCATGGTTACGATATGCGCGAGTCAGTTTTTAACGCAACACCCGTTAATAAAGTTACCGCCTGACGTAATTTGGGGATCAATTACACCAAGCGCTATTTCTAAATAACGTTTAAAAATTGCTTAAATGGGCATGTGCAGGTATTTGACAACCGGGGCCGGCCGGCGAGATCTTTTATTTTAGGTTATGTTTGAATTGTTTTGAATTATTACTTAAGTTTTATTAGGTAATTTGATATTTAAGTAGTTGGAATTAGTTTTAATTGAATAAATATGAAATTTCAATAAATATGAGGATTCCACCTCTTCCAATATTAAAGAACCTATAAAGAGGCTTAGGTTTACAGCAGATGACGACTTAGCCCTTCTAAGAGAATTTGTTGCCCTAAACCCACTGGCAGACGTTGAATAATAAAGCACTGGAAATAAGCACTTTAGCCCATTAGTTTTAAAATACCTAGTAAACAAAACAATTTCAAAGTTTTAAATTCAAAGTTAGGTTAAGTTTAAATAGCGGACGCGACGCGAGCAGAATTCTTTCCGAGCCGATAACTATAAATGAAGAGAGTTAATACCACCTCACGTAAAGGAAATAACACCTGGCCTTATTAACGTCCATGCACGCTATTCGGTTTTGCGATATCTCTCTATTACGCTGTTTATTGTTATTTTACGCGAGTTTATTTTTGCGCACAGGAAATTTTACTCGTTTGCACATCGTCATAAAAAACAATTTTCGTACCACGAATTAAGGATAAGATTTTTATCTGTATACATATAGTATACCTAATCTGTGGTATTGCTCTCAATATAGATAGCCACGACGCTGTAATTTTTGACACTCTGCAATTTCGTAATTTTCAACAGAAAAATCGAAAAACATTACTCTATCTTTCAAAAATCGCTTTAGATCCAAACTCATTCATATGATGAGAAGTTAGGACAAGTCATCTTGATCAGATATTTTTTTAGCTATAGCTCAAAAAGTAAGAAAGATCCAAAATAAAGCCAATAGATCGATTTTGTAGAGAATTAAATTTCCTACAATAAAAAACTTTCTCCTGTCTCTGATAGAAAGTTTTAAAAAATGTTTTTTGATGACGGACGAATGGGCTGATATTTTGCTAAAACCATGTTTTTTCTATTCTTGAGGTCTCAAAACGTTGAGAAAAGTGTTTTTATCCATAGTCAAATTTTTACCTGAACCAATAATTTTCTTTCCATAAATTATGAAAAGTAAAAACATGTAGAGATGACAACAATCATCTGTAAAATTGAATTTGTAATTATTATAGACTGTCATCTGACAAATTTTTAGGACTGCGAAAATAAGGACAATGGTTTCAATAATTTTTATCCAATTTCTCACCTGCCATACATATTACCCATTCTTACAGGTTAACAAGACTATTTTTTTTATTAACAGCACAATATCTCTCACTAACAGAACTATTTCTACCGCTGGAAAAAAATTGCAGTATATTTGTATATACCGCATACTTTACCGGGTGCGTCTCAAAAGTGACTCACCCTTTACGTATTCAATTGTTTTTGGTCACTTCCTGTTTCACCGGAAATGACTACAACTTTTGATTTTTAAATGTCACCCATGGTATATTTCTACTTTATTCGATGGAAAATGACACTCTGAATAGAATAATATATCATATTATGTCAACTTTTGACATTTTCGCATATGGTTTATTTGAAATTATAACATGCGGTTCATAACGAAAATTTGACTCGAAAAAACAAGTGTGTGGTATCAAATTATTCGTAACAGAATGTTTTTTTCAAATTTGCTAATGTTCCACCCTCGTTCCGTTTCAAAAAATTGAGATATGATTAAAAATACGATTTGGGCATCTTTTAACCGGCCAGGATAAGACACTTAAAACGTTATGGTACATATACATTAGAACTGCCTATTCGCCTCTATTTCCCATTTAAATAATACGCGGAAACATTTTTTTCTTTTGGAATTTTATTGCGTTCCAACAAATCAGCGTTTGGTAAAAATCAATACATATTCTTGTAGAAAATGGAACGGTCTTCAAAAAAGATCTGATATAAATTTTCATTTAATTGACTCGTTTGGAAGTTATTGAAGGTTAAAGTTAAACTTCAAATCGTATATGATAACTTCCACGATTTTTTATATTTTATCACGAAATATTGACACATAAACATAAACTATCGTATTTTATCACGAAATAATGGCTCAAATAACTAAAATATCATATTTTATGTTTTTGAGCCATTTGGTGAGAAAATATCATCGGCTTTATGACGAAAAGGCGTATCTCGATTTTTGGCGATTTTGAGATATCAACGTCATGACATGCCCAATGGGTCATATTTTAACAATACTATAATCAAATACTACAATTCTTCGTTATGACGAAGAGACGTATGTTGAGATAGGGCTCTTTGTTATATCAATTATTGTTATACCAATTGTTATACTACAAGAAAGATGGAATTTGAGATAGGTCCTTTTGTTTTAAGTTATGAAAATATATGCGAGAGAAAATTACACCATTCTACCTAATTATTTTCTGACGGTTGCTTGGGACAAAATAAAACTTCTATCATGGCTCTATGAGAAGCTCTCTTTTACAGTGTGATTTTAGAGTCTATTTTTTTGCCAAAAACCATTGTTAGAATGAGCTAGACTCTGCACATAGCTGTATCGGGTATGCAAAAGATTGTCCGAGAATAAATGGCCGAATAAAAGGAAAATTTTGATCGAAAGCAAAACAATGAAACGAAAATTGCCCTAATGGAAAATTTCCCGAAATCATAATTTCTCTAAGAACATTTCAGCGAACCAAAAACTTGCCCGAAAAATACAATAATTTTCATCTCATTATCATTGTCAGGCCATTGGCATTGTCATCCCTACCAATTTTTGGAAAATTTTATTTATTTTGCCTATCATCATCCAGCATAAACACGTAGAATGAAAGTCGAATTTGTTATCATTGAACAGGGAAAACAGAAACGGTTACTCCACAGTTATTTGTATTAAAAAACGAATGAAGAAACATGTTTTGTTTTTGTTTAGTTTAGTTTTTATTATATGGACCGTGAGTTTAAATGCCCTGTATTAATGCCCTCAATTAACTAAAAAATTACTAAAAATATATTAGTTAAAAAATTGCATTTTTGGACAATATATTATTAACAACAATATTATTAAAACAAGCTAGATAAGAGTATTTTAATTGATTATTGTCTTTGCTTCTGGCATGAAAATTGTCTTTGTTTTCAGTTGATCTAATCCAACGCGAATAAAAGTATTTAAAAATATTTGTTTCTGATTTTTTGGCGATTTTCAGATTTTTTCTTGTATGTATGTATTGCATTTTCTTGTAAGTATTCCATAATGTGAATATTGTATCATTTTTTTTTTCTTATTAAGAACACTTTACTGTCATTTTTAAATTTATTTTACACGGGCGTATGTATACTATTCGTTCGGAAATAAATTTATTATTATTATAACAAAAAGGCCTATCTCTATTAAACAACTAAAAATAAATTATTTACTAGAATTTACGCTCAATTTATCTCCAGAACGTTTCCTCAATGTCTCCGTTTAAGTGTTAATACAAAAAAACACTATTAAAAAATTAAAGACTTTACATTTATTGGCCAAATAAAGTAAGCGATTTTCTTTAAATTGCTCTCCTGAAAAGTAGCAAAAATCGAGATACGCCTTTTCGTCATAAAGCCGACGATATAGAAAATTATGGAAGGTATCATATTATACGATTTGAAGTTGAACTTTAAAATTCAATAACTTTTAAACGAGTCGATTTAATGAAAATTCATATCAGACATTTTTTGGAGACCCTTCAATTGCTGATTTGTTAGAACGCAATTAAATTCCAAAGGAAAAACATTGTTTCCCCGTGTTATTTAAATGGAAAATAGAAAATCGCGATGAGGCACCTCTTAATATTAATATTAAAAGCTCAAACTTTACCAGATTTCTTTTTATTATCCTTAACGATATTTTCACCGGCAACTAAAAATAAAAAAATATATTTTTTTTGGTGCACCCTACGGTGTATGTGTTACGCACAATACTCGAATTCGGGTAATGTCCGAAAAAAATGCACAGAACTAGGTTTGAGCAAAAAATATTTCCCAAACCCGAAATTATACATTTAAACGGGTACTGCGCATTATACAAACTGGCAAAAACTAGTATTGTGCATTTTAAATTGTGCAAAACTGGTTTGGTGCATTTCAAAATGACCAATACTAGTTTTCCTCGTTTTCTTTAAATAAGACGGCAAAAAGTAGGGTTAGAAGTTTGTTTAGGTTTTAAAGGATTCTTATTTTGATTTTGTTGTGGGTGGAAATACGCAATACTTGGTAATATAAAATATAAACATGCAAGAAAAAATGGAAGCCGAGTTCGAAATTCAAGTACGTCGATTGATGATGGCTAAAACACAGAAATATAACCTTATGTCGAAAAACCAATACCTAACGATATTGACTGGAGTTAAGGAGGCAAATTTTCTTAAAACTGATTTAAAACCTTTGTGTGCGAAACAATATACAGTACGTTTGTCCGTTCTGTAGCTACGGGGTATCCGTGAGAGGGGAAACGATATTCTCTCGATGTTTTTCGTAAAAAATTAGACGACGCGTCCCATCAATAAAAATTCGACAAATTTGCAAGTAGCCAATAAAATGAGTGGGCGGAGCGATTTGCGGTTACGTACCCGTCAAGTCAACGTATAAAATATATTGCTGTTTATTTAAATGTTTTTTGTCCGCATTCCTTTCATTGACACAGATCCAGCAGACGTACTGTAGAAGAATAAAGCGTTTTGATATAATAGCTGTGGTTGACGTGGAAAAATTGATCAAGAAGCGCCAAGGAGATTCCGATGTCATACTGTATTTTGTGGCGACTGAGGAAATGTTTTCTATAATTCACCAGGCACATAAACGTCATAATTTTTTTTGTTTATCTTTTATCTATTAGATATCTAACCATTCTTAGGATTCCGTTATTTTAAATTTTTATATTTTATAAGTTGAATGATAAGTACTAAGTACATTAGACTAATACATTTACAGGAGCGTATGGTCCTGTGGTACAATGTACTTCTTCGAATACCAGACGTACAGTACGTCTATCCGTTCTGTAGCTACGGGGTATCCTGAGAGGGAAAACGATATTCTCTCGATGTTTTTCGTAAAAAAATAGACGACGCGTCCCATCAATAAAAATTCAACAAATTTGCAAGTAGCCAATAAAATGAGTGGGCGGAGCGATTTGCGGTGACGCACTCGTCAAATCGACGTATAAAATATATTGCTGTTTATTTAAATGTTTTTTTGTTCGCATTCCTTTCATAGACACAGATCCAGCAGATGTACTGTAGATCGAGGAAGATTAGCACCACGAAATGTAATGGCAGTTGTACAATCGGCTGATGATGAGTTTTACAAATTAGCAACAAAGACTGGAGTTTTACATAAACTTTATTGTAGAAATGAGTTTCAATTAGCTGATAATAATTTTTTTATTGACAACAACAATGTTGGCGATAAAACGGAAATATCACTTAGAAACTGCATCTTCCGATATATCCGGATCTACTCAAGGTTTTATTTCATGCATGTGTATAAAAAAATGTATTAATAGAGCGTGTTCTTGTAGAAAAAATAATGTTATTTGCAACTCTAAGTGCCACCATTCAAGTTCCTGTTCAAATAAATAATATAATACTACTGTATAAATATTCATATAGGTACCTATATTATTATGTATTTATCCATTTATAAAGTATTTATGAATAAAGTTTTATTTTTTTAAGTATTTCATTGTCAGTTTAATCATATTTGAATCAAACACATTCATAAACAATCCATCCTTTGTGTTAGATCAAATCATTGATCAAATAGGACAAGCAAAACTAGTATTGGACATTTTGAAATGCACCAAACTAGTTTTGCGCAATTCAAAATGCACAATACTAGTTTTGACTATTTTGTAATGCGCAATAGCCGTTTAAATGTACAATTTCGGGTTTGGGAAGTATTTTTTGAACAAAACTAGTTCTCTGCATTTTTTCGGGCATTACCCAAATTCGAGTATTGTGCGTAACATATGCATAACAATCATCTTTAGTCAATTCAGAATTTGCATCAACATGTGAAAGCCCTTCGTCAATGACCTGAGGTGAAGATGTTGATGATTCACTAGAATTTAAGGAGTATCTTTAGCAAACTTTAGCTTAACAAGTTACAGCAAAGATTATTTAAAAAAAAGTTAATATAATTAATTACTATTTTATGGATATTTTAGGTTTAAGAAGACTATGTCAAGTAGTTCATTTTGTACTGCCAGTAACCAAACTATTAACAGGTCTTGCGTATATTAATTCTTGTCCCACTAACAGTTGGTTACCGATTTACTTGATTGTTGGAGGTAAAATGAAATACAAATACAACTGTGTCAGTTTTAAAACTTCCCACCCTTAATATCTTTCTTGCAGTTAAAAATATGAAAAATCGGAAAGACACGTCAATTTTATTTGTAAGGGGGACACTTTAAATGAATATTGTTAACCTTTTTTTTTCAACCTCCTAGGAGGGGTAGATGTCACCTTTACAGTCTTAAATAGGAATGGGGTTCAAGAGGCACATCGCTTTAAAGAGCGTTCAATTCTCTTTTCAATGGTATCCTTTCGTAGTTGCTTTCTGTCCAGAGGTTTCCGAATAATCGCGTTTCAAAGCTGCTGAAACAATTAAACATGCCTGCATCGAGATTTTGGTTTTCCCGCTAGTGCTTACACAAAAAATATTGCAATGGGTCTCCTTGTAGTACAAATTATTAGAAGATTAGGTGGTAACGTGGACGTAGCCATTACATTTTTCTAGGTGGGTCGAAATACTAATATACAGAAAACATCATAAACATTAACGTTTCTTTTCTCAAATTTGAATGAGTGGCAACTTACAGGGGGGGACATAGCCCTCCCCTGCCTCCCCTTCAATACGCCCTATTTTTTCGATAAGGACATACACAATTATAGGTACCTATTCTTAGAAATGCATGAAGGAAACTTGACAGGTGATCTGTATCTTAATATGCTTCAAGACACTATTGATCCTCTTATCACCCAAGAGCTAGAAACCTTAAATTGATGCAGAGGGTAATCCAGTTTTACAGGATGATTTATTAACATTCCAGCACGACGGAGCTCCGACAGTGGTTAAACGAAAGATTTCCGGGTACATGGATTGGCAGAAGGGGACTAATTGAATGGCCTCCAAGATCACCGGATTTAACACCCTTAGACTTCTTTCTTTGGGTACATCTTAAATCCATTGTTTATAAAACACAACCTACTGATATTGATGGTCTTAAAAGGCGAATTACAGCAGAATGCCGGTCAATTCCCGGTGAAGTTTTCTGAAATGTTAGGGAGGAGTTTGAAAACAGACTTTATTATTGTTTACAGGAAAATGGACAACATTTTGAATAACTTATAAGATAGGGCGTAAGTGGTGTAACCTAATCTTCTAATCATTTATACTACAAGGAGATCCATTACAATAATTTTTGTGTAAACACTAACCTGAAAACCAAAATCTGCAGGCATGTTTAATTATTTATTGTTTCTGCAACTTTGAAACGTGATTATTCGGAAACCTCTGTTCAAAAAGCAACAAAGTAGGATACCACTGAAAAGTTAAACGCCCTTTAAAACGCTTGACTCCCATTCTCATTTAAGATTGTAAGTGTGACATCTACCCCACCTAGGGGGTTGAAAAAAAAAAAGGTTATAAATACTCATTTAAATATCCAAAAAAATCCTTATGGGTTTTTCGCCACTGCACTGCAAGAAAAATCTACAAAATAAAATAGTTATTTTTTGTAAACACTTCTGGCGTTAAACCTAAACGGACGCTGCTTGTCAGAAGTTGTGTTTACAGTAATAAAAATTTGCCTAACAAAGAAAAAAATGCTTAACGTTTCGGAAAGTTTTCTCTTTCCGTCGTCGGAAGCAAAAAAATATAAATAATCAAGAAAAAAACTATTTAAAATATTTAAATTGAACTATTCGAGAACACTTTACTTTTTAAAACAGATACGTCTACAGTACGTCTGTCCGTTCTGTAGCTAAGGGGTATCCGTGAGAGGGGAAACGATATTCTCTCGATGTTTTTCGTAAAAAAATAGACGACGCGTCCCATCAATAAAAATTCAACAAATTTGCAAGTAGCCAATAAAATGAGTGGGCGGAGCGATTTGCGGTGACGCACTCGTCAAATCGACGTATAAAATATATTGCTGTTTATTTAAATGTTTTTTGTCCGCATTCCTTTCATAGACACAGATCAAGCAGATGTACTGTACAAGAAATCGTTGACGTTTGTTAAAATGACATTATATTAAGTTAAACTTCAAAATTAACAATTACTACCTGAATTACTTAATAAGGTAAAACCAAAAAGCCCAAACTTTCTGTATGATTATTTTTAAATTTCACGTATGTTATGTTTATTTATGTAATGTTCTTTAAAATCAAAGAAGCGATTGTCATACATTACTAACATCTACAGATGCATGAGCAATACATTTATTTTTATTAGATTGAATTAAAAAAGCCTCTTTTATTTTTCTTTTAGAGGTTATCGCTTCTTTCATTATAATTTTGGCGTTATTAAAATTTATTCTGTGCCCTGTGTCCCATGAATGCTGACAAATCTTAGATTTGTGAAAATCTCTCTTTCTTAAATAATCTTTAAGTTCTTTAATTTTAACATTTAAGGGTCTAGATGTTTCACCAATGTAAAATTTATCGCATTCACAGGGTATTTGGTATATTACATTTTTTGTTTGTTGTTCTGTATTCATTGGTTTAGTATGTGATAAAATTGATCTAAGTGTATTTTGTGTTTTGAAAGATGTTTGTATGTTATATTGTTTTCCTATCCTTCTTATTTTTTCCGAAACGCCTCGTATCTATGGAATTGTAAGTTGTATATATTGTGTATTGTTATCTTTGTGTCTATGATTTGGGGTTTGTATTTCGTTTAATGTTTTGTCTATAAAATATGGTGGATAGTCGTTTTTACCGAAAAAAAAAATAAAAAAAAATAAATAAATAAAAAAAATTAAAAAAAAATTAAAAAAAGAGAAAAAAAAGATAAAAAAATAAATAAAAAAAATAAAATAATAATAGATAAATTTTACATTGGTGAAACATCTAGACCCTTAAATGTTAGAATTAAAGAACATAAAGATTATTTAAGAAAGAGAGATTTTCACAAATCTAAGATTTGTCAGCATTCATGGGACACAGAGCACAGAAATAACGCCAAAATTATAATGAAAGAAGCGATAGCCTCTAAAAGAAAAATAAAAGAATCTTTTTTTAATTCAATCTAATAAAAATAAATCTATTGCTCATGCATCTGTAGATGTTAGTAATATATGGCAATCGCTTCTTTGATTTTAAAGAACATTACATAAATAAACATAACATACGTGAAATTTAAAAATAATCATACAGAAAGTTTGGGCTTTTTGGTTTTACCTTATTAAGTTATTATCAGGTAGTAATTGTTAATTTTGAAGTTTAACTTAATATAATGTCATTTTAACAGAACGTCAACGATTTCTTGTAGACGTATCTGTTTTAAAAAGTAAAGTGTTCTCGAATAGTTCAACTTAAATATTTTAAATAGTTTTTTTCTTGATTCTTTATATTTTTTTGCTTCCGACGACGGAAAGAGAAAACTTTCCGAAACGTTAAGCATTTTTTTCTTTGTTAGGCAAATGTTTATTACTGTAAACACAACTTCTGACAAGCAGCGTCCGTTTAGGTTTAACGCAGAAGTGTTTACAAAAAATAACTATTTTATTTTGTAGATTTTTCTTGCAGTGCAGTGGCGAAAAACCCATAAGGATTTTTTTGGATAGATGAATCCGCCACATAGGTATAGACATTTTTTACTCATTTAAAGTATCCCTCTAAGAAATAAAATTGACGTGAAAGTTTCAAAGTTTTAAAATTGACACAGTGTATAACAAATATCTCAATAAATTTACTGTTATTATTTCAGGAGTGTTACAATTATGTTTTCTAGCGGTTTTGACTTTCAAAGCTTTAAGACAGCCAATAATGCTACTTCTGGTAGGATTTGGACTCGTTGTGTGGGGCATCATCTGTAAGTATACACGGAAAGAATAAATTGGAATAAACCCCACAATTGTGAAAACACTACTACTGCATTTTACTTCTCAAATACTACGAGGCATCACGTTGTAGCTTTTATTTCTATCAATTTGTAGATCTCTAAAATATTAAATATGCTTGATTTTATACGAAAATAGTGAAAATTGTGGTGGTACTTTGCAGGTGGTAAATTGAGGTGGTAGTTGCTTCTTGAGCTTCCACAAAAATTGTAGCATGAATAGCACAGTCTTAAATTTTTCGGTAATTCTTAAAAAAACCTTTGCAAATTCTTTACGAGCTCCGATTTCACTTTTGTCAAGCTTTTGTTTGTATCAATACAGTTACCAATAACAAATACTATCTTTATTTTGATTTTTAAAAATAATTCATGCTGCTAACTTTTCCTATCATTTTTTTTAATCTGTAGTATATAGTTTTACTTACTATACTTAATAATCTTTCGATTTATTATAATTTTATTATAATTTAAGTACTTTTAGTGATTCGAATGAAATTTTGAGGGTGAAAGTTACTATAAGTGCTACATATTTTAAGGCTAAAAAAGTGTCCATAAATTCATCAGGGACGTGCATATGAGTTATCACTGGAATTTTTTTCAAAAAAAAACATGTGCGCCACTGACTTTTTTTCTTTTGATATCAAAATGGTGTAGGACGTTTAATGCCAATTAAAAGTTATCTCTTGATATTATGCCGAATTCGGCCTCTTTGATGAGATAAACGCAATTTTATTAATTTGCCTGGTTCCAAGTCTAATAGCAACCTTTAAAAAAATTTCATATCATTAACTTGCGAAAGTTTTAAAAAAATACTCATTGATTCCTCATCAAAAAATATGATAGTCCAACCTACAGCAATTTTAAATAAAAAAATAATAGTATTTAAGATAATTACAAAAAACCTAATACTAAAAAGTTTTACCATCCTGTAACTCTAGAACTATGCATTTCCATACCCATGTTTATAAGAACTTTTTTCCATATTTTTTGATGAGGAATCAATGAGTACTTTTTAAAAATTTCGCAAGTTAATGATATATTAATTTTTTTTAAATGCTGATGCTATGAGACTTGGATCAAGGCAAATTAATAAAATTGCGTTCATCTCATCAAGGAGGCCAAAATCGACAAAATATCAAGAGACAACTTTTAATCGGCATTAAATTGCTTACACTATTTCGCTAACAAGAGAAATAAAATCAGTGACGTATATGCTTTTTTAGAAAAAATATTCCAGTGATAACACATATGCACGTCACTGGTGTCGACATTTTTTTAGCTTTAAAATATGTCGTATTTATAGTAACTTTTACCTTCAAAATTTAAATCGAAACACTAAAAGAACTTGGAAGAAAATTATAATAAATCGAAAAAATATTAAGATTTTAATACCCTGCAGCTACGAAACAAAGCAAAATCGGACCTATGTGATATGAAAAATAAATCTTATTTTTACGTGAGGAATTTCCCCACGAGAGATGGCACGTGTTTTTTGATTCCTGTATAATTGAAACCCTGTATATATTTTAGAAATTAATGTTGTAATGAAACAATTCCTATGGTTTACTTATTTTTAGCTTCTGTCAACATATTCGTCGAATGGAAACCCGATTTCTTCATAGGTGGATGGAGGTACTGCCACAAGGGTTTCTTCTATTTCTGTTTTTATTCGGCAGCGTCGGAGTACTTAATATTCTCGTTAGTGGTGATTTATTTATGTACACAGTTCGCCTACCAGAGGCCCGGTCGTCTTATGCTCCAACAGACGTAGTGTAAAACTGTGATTGATATAGGTATAATGTATATTAATTAAGTAAGTCCAAATGTTCTATTATTACTTAAATAAACTTAAATAATAAAACAACACACGTTTGTCAAATGTAATGTTGTTTGACAAAATGTCATGCGAGAACTGCTATGGCAGCTAATTACCCTAGATCATAAATATATGCTTACGTGGACAAATCAACGCCATAAGTTTAGCATTAAAAAATATATCTCCAACATCACGACATGCCATTTTCAAACCTTCTTTATTGCACTTATGAAACGTTCAATTGGTTTGTCTTTCTCGAGGACCTTACTTTGCGCCATGAGCATTTAAAAGTTGCAAAATCATTTACTATGAAAGAGTTGAACAATGGTATAAATACCATGAAGAATGGAAAAGCCGCTGGGATTGACGATATATGCGTGGAACAGATCAAAAATTTCGGTCCTGGAACCAAAAAATGGATACTTAAACTTTTCAATGCATGTCGCGAAACCTTTCAAATTCCAAAACTGTGGCGGAAGTCAAAAGTAGTAGCTCTCCTTAAATCCGGAAAAGATCCAGAGTCTCCGAAAAGCTACCGACCCATATTCCTCCTTTGCCATCTGTTTAAGCTCTACGAAAGACTAATCCTCTACAGAATAGAGAAGACCGTCGATTCAAAGCTGATTCCACAACAGGCAGGATTCAGACCTGGAAAGTCCTGCACCAGTCAAATCCTCGCATTGACAGAACATATCGAGGCGGGTTTTGAGAATAAACACATCACAGGGCTGGCCCTAGTCGACCTAAGTTCCGCCTATGATACGGTAAACCACAAGATATTACTGCATAAAGCCAATGAGACCTTGAAAGATTACCACCTAGTCAAGATACTCGAATCCTTGCTCTAAAACAGGCAGTTTTTCGTGACGCTCGAGGGCAAAAAGAGTCGATGGCGAAACCAGAAGAATGGGTTGGCACAAGGAAGCGTGCTGGCACCAATTCTTTTCAACATATATATAAATGACCAACCTATTCCAGATAACACTAGAACCTTTGCATATGCAGATGACCTAGCAATAACAGTTGAAGGCAAAGGGTTCGAAGATATCGAGGAGAAACTAGAAAGCGCCCTAAAAACAATGTCAACCTATTACAAAAAGAATTCTGTAAAACCCAACCCCACCAAAACTAAAGTGAGTGCATTCCACCTTAATTCGAGACAGGCGACCCGCAGACTTAATGTTACATGGGACTACTAGAACACACAGATAAGCCTACCTATCTTGGCGTCGTGCTGGACAGAACATTGACTTACAAATATCACTGCGAAAAAACACGCAAAAAAGTAGAAGCACGAAATTCCCTTATAAGGAAGCTGACCAATAGTAAATGGGGAGCCAAACCTACCGTGGTCAGAACTTCTGCTCAAGCTCTGTGTTTTTCAACTGCAGAATGTGACTGCCCAGTGTGGTGTAGATCTGTCCATGCAAAAAAGGTGAACATCAGTCTGAATGAAACATGCAGAATAGTGACAGGTTGTATGAAACCCACCCCCTTAGAAAACCTTTACAAGGCCGCAGGTTTTACAAGCCCCGATTTACGCAGAAAAGCTCATGAACATACTGAGAAGTTAAAACAAACCTTTGATGGTCGTCACTCAATTTTTGGCCAAGAGTGCGATACAGGTAGACTTAAATCCAGACGCCGTTTCCTAAGCCACCCCCTGGATGAACCTCCCTCCCACTACCCCCTTAGAGAGGACCCACCAAATGGTGTTTCTAGCGACTGGAAAACCTGGAGAATGCTCAAGCGAATCAGAACTGGGGTGGCCCCAGTAAAATCAAATTTGATCAAATGGGGTTTGCTGGACAGAAATGACGACAAATACGACTGCGGCGCCTTTCAGGACATGGACCATCTTCTTCAATGTCCTGCGTACCCCCACAGATGTACCCTCGATGACCTATGGCTTGCTAAACGGGAAGCATTGGACGTAGCCCATTACTGGGTTAATAAACTATAATATAATGCGGATACGAAAAAGTAAAGTAAAGTTAAAAGTTATGCACGTATTACCAAAATAATCACAATTTTATACGGTTTAGAAAGTATCCTAGATTATCAAATATACCATTAGAGATAGTTTGAAAAAAAATAGAAAATTTTACCACTCTGAATCTGAAAAGTTAAGATGTTTAGGACATATATTCATAAGAAGTTTTTTTCTTAGAATAGTTATAAGAATCACTTTCCTAAATATTAGCATGCCAGTAAGGAACATCCTGTATATGCAAAAGCGGAGGTAGGTGACAAAATATAAAAAGAAGGTCAAGAAGAAAATTTGTTCAGTATTTGATTTTACGTTTATAGACTAAAATTCATAAAAAATGTAAATTGAAATACCCATTTTTATGTTTATTAGATTTGCTGTCTTATGAAAAAAATCTATTTTTCTTTTCGAAAAAATCGAAAAACTGATATTTTTCGTATATGCCTGTATACTTAAGTCCCTTGATACATGGGCGTAAAATTAAATCCTAAAAATATTTTTTCTTTCAATGTTTTCTAGATTTTGCCACATAACATCACTTTTTGAATATCTGAAAATAATTTTTGCAATTTGTCGCCATAACAGTTGTCGTCTGGCATATGTTAAAATGATTTTTTTATTGGATATGTTGAAGTAATTACGCATAAACTGTTTTTTAATAACTGTAAGAGTAAATTAAATTATTTAAATCTGGCGCCCAAAACTAGGTTGGCAACTCTAGTGACTTATAAGGAGGCATTGTTAGGTAGGGATTATGGGTAATATGAAAAAAAATAAAAAAGTGGAGAATAAAGTACGAAAATTTATTGAAGTCGTTTTATTAAGAAAGGACGTTAAATTAGTCTCTCCCCCTTTATATAACTCAATAATATAAAGAATTCCCATTTGTTGCAAACTTACCATTTGTTGCGTATGTTTTGGTACACCTTGTATATACTTTAAGACTTTTTGTACATTTATTTTATCTTTATTCGGTTATTGTAAATTACAATATCAAATCTTAGGAAAAGACTAGAGGGGGGGGGGTATTAATAAACTACACTCACATGCAAAAAAAACGCAACGGAGAAATTTTTGCTCAATTTTAAAATGTTATATTTCTGTTATTTTTAGCCCTATTTTCATGATTTTTTAGCAAGCTGTGCATAATTATATCAACTTTAATTCGTAAACTAAGTTTTTTATAAACTTTAGTATTTGCCATATTATACAGGGTTAATCGAGGGGTTGTTGTTAGACCAAGCGAAGTTCATTTAATGAAGCTGGTAGCGCTTCGCGACCTCTAACTATGAGCCTGACGAGCATTTCCTAAACGTCGAACATGATGAACAGTTTATAGTTCCCAATAATCTCCAAAGCCGCCTTGTCATATTGAAAAACAACTTCAAAATGAAATGAAAATTGAAAAAATTGCAAATTGTTGATAGCGAGTTCATTTCGCCCTTAAAAATTAACCAAAGCATGTACTGACATGATCCAAAAAATAAAATGCTGACATGGTTCTATCCGTAAAATTATATTTTAGGAAAATTTACAAACGAAAATATTGCACAGGGTGTTTTAAAGTTAGGGTAAAAAAGCAACCCCTCAGTGATAAAAAAGATAGACTTGAACTAAAGTCGTCATCGTTCTTGAAAAAAAAAATTAGTGGCAAGAGAATTTATTTTAGTTATTTTAGTAAGAAAAACTCTCTTAACTCAAGAAAACTGGTTCTCTTGAAAAATTCGAAAATTTCTCTTGAATCTATTTTCATTCAACCAAGTGCAAGTTACTTTGTTTTAAGATAATAAGAAAAATAGGCTAGGAAGTACTTCATTCAAGAAACATGGCCATTTTTCCAATAGCTAAATACTCTTTTGATGAAAAATAATAACGACACGCAAAGACGATGACGAAGGACGGTATATACAATCAGTCGGCAGTTCGATCAGTCGTACATCGCATTTCATAGGTCGCACATCATAGTACGCACAGGTTTTGTTGCTTGGCATTTTCCACTAGGAATTTTGCATAATTTGCTTTTTAAACGCATATCGTATAACAAATTAGTGATCGTTATTCACATGTATTTGTGATTTTTTATGGACAAATTTTAGGATATATGGATTCTTTAAAGGAGTGTCTGAAAAAATGGAAATTAGAGCGTTTATTTGCTATATTTGAAGGTAAGAGACATTTACCTAATGCACCTGTTTAGATCATGCATTCGTGACTATAGGTAGAATAAGAATATAGGTATCGATTTTTTTATGCAAATAATTACAAAAATTTTAGAATTTCAAGTCGTCGTATTAAAAAATTCAAAATGTGACCAAAGCTTATAATTTTAATAATTTATTTGCTTTTCTTTGATTAATCGTGATGTAACATTTTTTTGTAATTTGTAGAGTGATGAACCACCCCAAAAAATGCAAAGGAGTGAAGAAGCAGAAATAACTACTATCGAGGAAAATAATATCACTTTATTTACTACAGACCAGGAAAATCTAAATTTATCAGAAAATAATATACCTCGTAATATGCCTGTATATGATGTATAGACTTCTCTTAGATCAAAATAAATTTTAGTTGAGTCAATAGTATTCGCTATTGGTTTAAGAAAAATGTCTCTTTAATCAAGAAATGTCCCTTTTCAATCGAGAATTTTTGCATGAATCCAAGAGACTATTGTTCTTGTAGCAAGAACTTCTTTGCATATTCATTTTGGGTCAAGAGTGAAATACTTTGGACAGATAGATTCTTCTATTCTCTAAAGTAATTTTTTAAAACTTATGAAAAGATAGTTAATGCTTTGGGCAAAGAAACGTCGTTCTTGGCCCTATTGAAAAGCGCCAATCTTTTGGGTCAAAGTCATATTCATTTCGACTGAGAGATCCTTTTTTTCAGTGCTCGATTCTTCTTCTTCTTCCTGTGCCTTGTGCTTAGCCGCACCGTTTTCGGCTCTTCGAAATATGGTGGCTGCGTCGCTGATGTTACACCAATCCCGTATGTTTCTTAGCCAGGAATGTTGTTTTATTCCTGGGCCTCGCCGTCCCTCTATTTTTCCTTGTAGAAT